TCTGTCCTCCAATGCTATAAATAGTTGGTCTTAGTATCAGCTTTGGCCAGGCCGTGGCAGCAGCACAGGCTAGCCCTTAGAGGAAATGGATTTGCTGGGGGAGGATGAAGTCCCAGGGAGAGAGGGAGGATGGGTAGAGTGAGATGGGGCTAAAGGAAGGCTGAGGCCTGCCCCCCTGCATACGACATCAGAGGGTTGGAATGCGGGCCCCTCCCTGCACTTCCAACTTGTCCATCATCCAGTGACGCCATGCTTCCAGACCATCCTCTGACCGTCCGGTCTTGTTCATTTTGTCTCTGTTGCCCTGTGTGGCTGTTCTGCCTCTGCATTTGGTCACTTCAAAAGTTTCTCTCAAATTACACCTCCCCCAAGGAGGAAGTTCAAAAGGCCAGCCCTACAAGGAGCTACACTAGGTGAGCTACTGACACTTGGGTAGTGAAAAATCCCTGTGAAACTCCGGACCTCTGTGGATTGCAGACCTGCATGGTCCTCTGCTCTTTTGTTACAGAATGATTCTAGGGCACTCTCTTCATTCTGCTGGTCCACGGACAGTTCAGGGTGCAGGATGTTTATTAAAGCTTGGAAGGGAGTTGGGGAGGAGGGTTGGATTGGGCAGAAGAGGAAGAGCCACCACGTAGTTGCGGCTGCCTTGACCTAGACCACAAGCAGCCCTGGAGCCAAAACATCCCGTCGGAGTTGTTCTTTGTTGGACCCAGATAGCCATCCTTGCCATCAGCCCACACAGGCAGCTGGGGAAGGTGTGCGGGTGGGGGCAGAGGCAGTCCCTGCAGGGGCTATGCACCAACAGCTGCTGCCTTCTAGCAACTGGGGCAAGTTCCTCCCAAAGGTGGATCTGGGCAGGACCTCAGGGGCTTGCCCTTCTTTGTGGAAGGGACATAATGACATTTCCCTGGACTCTTGACTCCATGAAATGTAACCACAGATGAAATGCACCTGCCACATTGTCTGACACACACCCTATTTAGTTATTGGGCTGGTAATCCTGCCCCCTCCCCCCAAGCCACTTTTCTCCTCTTGTGAGCTAAAGTCTGAAACTCAGAATTTAAATGAGGCCATGTTGAAACCTGAGGAAACACAGAAGCAGAAACGCATGACACATTGATGGGCCCTTTAAATTCAGATTTCCTTAGCTAATAATACATTTTTTTCAAATTAATGTATTGTGAACATTATTACATTATGTTGTGTTTTTTTTGTCTTAAATACATTTCATGTGAGTCATCACCATATGTATAATCTGTCTTGGAATTTCTTCCTCCCCATTCAGTATTCAAGGATGCTTGAGCAATGAGAGAGGAGTCAGGCAGCTTTCAGTCTTTGAGAATACCAATGCTACCTGTCCAGGTGGGATGGGCGCCAGAAGACAGGTGGGAGACATTATTTCGGTGTCGGGTGCTCGCCAGCCACTAGGCTCAGGGCCAGCCTTTGATCTACCACAGCAGCCAGGCTGCTCCCGTCCTGAGCAGCTCCCAGAAACACCCAGCCAGGTCTGGAGCCCAGGTGTCCTCCATGGCCAGACGCCCAAGGAGCATGCTCTGTGCGACTGGAAGCCAAGAGGCGTCCAATCCCTAGCGGCCACTTCAGTGTTTCTCAAGGGCTGAAGCAGGAAGCAGGAGAGACAGAACTGGGAATCCAGTTCCACCGCCAGTCGTCTGAGCATCGAGGGGCGCTCTCCCGCGCGCCGGCCGCGCAGCTTCTGGTCCTGAAACAGCTCCGGGGTCGGGGTCGCGGGGAGCTGAGTTGACACCGGCGCCACGGAGTGTGTGTGGTGGGTGGGGTAGGGTGAGGTGAGGAGGGTGCAAGGACGTCTTTGTTTTGGGAGACTCAGAGCTTGGGTTTCTGTTCTCCTTAGAGAAAAGGGAGGCAAGCTGCTGGGATGTTATTTGATCATGGTCGCCAGGGCAGGCAGTTGCACTTGAAAATCAGGCATGCTCACACCTGGCAGATGCGACTCCAGGGCTCCGGACATGTCCATGGTTGGCCAGCCCATCAGAACCACATCTCATGAAGAGCCCAGGGTGGGCACAGAGCCCCGACCCACATATGCTTGTATCTGCCCCGGCAAGAAGCAAGCACTCAGACCCACAAACGGGGTCACACACAGTGTGGCCTGGCCAAGGCACCTGGGCAAGTCCAGGGCTTGTCCTGGAGAGTGAAGGAGGCCACTTGTGAAGCCTAGCATGCCCCTAGGCCCACTATCTAACAAGTAGGGCTGTCCCAGAAAGCCACCCCTCCCCACTGTGGCCCTGGCAGTCCTGGCTGCAGCATGCCCAGCCCAGCAAAGACCAGTGTGTGCAAACTCAGGCATCAGCTGTGCTGTGAAACTCCACCAGGAGCTGCAGACACCCAGTGTCCTGAGACCTTCCCCAATGGCCTTGGCCTTTTTCTTGCAGAACTTTGCTTCCATTTCTTTGGAATTCTCCACCCATCCCTACCCCTAATCACCCAGATGTCTGATGGAGGTTGTTTAGGTCAACAAACTTTTATGGAATGTATTACAATAATAATGACTAGGCGAACTGGAGCTCAGAGAGGTTGCTTCCGGTAGTTCAGCTAGGACTGGGCAGGAGTGGAGGGTCTGAGGGAACTGCCAGGTGTGGATAAGTAAGTGATGCTGGGTCACTGGGTTCCCCTGGGCAGCACCCTCAGAGGCTCTTTTGTCCTGGTGTCTGCCGTGGCCCCAGCTTAGAGCTGGAGGAGGAGCAGGAAGGCAAATAATGAGGTCCTTATCCTTTGAAAGATTAGTGCTTATTCTCCCTCCAAGGAGCAGAGGCCATTATTTTTATTCTGAAAATCTTATATCATGATTAGAGAACACCATTTTAAAAATTGTCCCCAACTCTGCGTCCTAATACAAGGACTTAGTACTTTCACTTTTTTAAAAAATTGAAGGATGCAGCTCTAATTTTAAAATACAATAATACTTTAGTTCTGTTATTTTTATGTATTTTGAAAACATGCCCCGCCTCTTTACGGTCTTCATGATTTTTGCTCCCCTGCAGCGTACGTTCCCTGCTCTGGCCAGACCGTATTTAGCCACTTTCCAGTTATTGGCTGTACTCAGTGTTTTGTTTGTATAAATAATTCTGCTGTAAATGTCTGTATACCAGTAGCTTTCCTTCCCTCCTTCTACATTAGGTTCATTGGGTCAGCACCAAAAAGGGGACGGCTGGGTTAAAGGTTGACTATTTTATAGCTTTTGCTGTGAGGAGCCAGATGGCATCATGATGTAGCAACAAAGCCACAGAGGTCACTGTCTGGATGTCTGGGCCCTCACTCCTGAAGGCTCTCTCACCAGTCAGACGAGCAGGACACCCAGGGCCGATCAAGGGCAGTCCCAGCCCCATCCTGCCCTCGCACCTAAGCTGCGGCTTTTCAACTTTGTTCTAGTTGGACACACAGTTCTCAGGACTGCTACACATCTTGGGAGCACAGTTAGGATGACCCGGACTCCCCCAAATGCACCAGGACCTTGAACTGAGACATGTTTTCTAATGAACAGAACCTTCACCACAGAGGTGTTTTTCTGGTGTTGCTACAACAGGCAGGTGGTTACTGGCTGTAATGTCTTTCCTTTTTCTTAGATTGAAGAACAACTATCAGGGTGTAAGTTGCATACAGGACACAAGTTCACCGTGATTTCCAAAAACAAGCAAACTGTTCTCCAACGTGGCATTCATGCTGTGCGGCATGCGGACAAGCATGCTCTGGGCACAGGCTCCTCCACAGGTGGCTCAGGATACAGTGTCTTTCACTAGCTCTGAGCAGGGACCAAGCACTGTGCTCCGGCCTGGATGCCAGGGCAGGAGGATGCCAAGGAAACAGTAATGACTGGGTCCTGGAGTCAGGATGCCATCCTAAAGGTGGCAGTTGAGTTCTGTGTGCTTGGCACACTCGTGGGAGGAATGCCAAGGGTGGAGGCGGAATACGCTAATAAGTAAAATAGCATGTCCCATGGTATCAAATACACAGGAGAAAAACAGGCAGGGGAAAGTAACAGGCCATTCTACAAAGTGTCTTAAAGGGCATTCAGCTAAGGCTTCACTGAGAAGTGACGGGCGAACAAAGACGTCTGGGGGAACGGCATTCCAGACAGACCGCCTGAGGCAGGGGCAAGGAGGCCCAAGTGGCAGGGAGGGTTGGAGGGGAGTCGAGATGAGGTCAAAGCGGGAGCGGGGTCCTAAGCTTGGCCCTCTAGACGCTTTAAGGACTTGGGTTTTTAAGAAATGCAGAGAGTCGTGGAGAGTGCGTGCCAGGGGCCAGAGGCAGGGAGGCAGTTAGGAAACTCCAGGTAAGGTGAGAACGCAGGTGTTCGGATTCTTGCGTCGCGCACTTAACCCTCAGCCTGCTCCCCTACTTGAGGTTTGGACTGAGGGGACGTCGGAAGCAACAGCCAACTTCAGCCTGAAGCACAAGTTTCTAGGAAGGTCTTAAAGTGCAATTACAGTCCCGCGAGGTGGTGTTTTTAACACCAGGACGGGACTCTCTTTGGCACAGGGGAGTCCAGGCAGCTGTCCAGGTGCAGCGTTGTCAGCTGCGTGGCTTCGGGCGCTCTCAATTACTTCACCTGTAAAATGGGACTAAATGCGCCGGCCGCCTCACTGCAGCTCGTGAGAGCTCACTCCGGAGCACCTGAGAGCCATCATAGCCAATTACAAAAAGCAATCGTGAACGCAGAGCTGACCTCAGAAAGTTGGTTTCGCACTGCACAGCACCTCGGCGGACCAAGCATGAGCTCGCTTCGTCTGACTCTTTGGGGCCAGGATTCAATCTCACCTGGCGCCGGCCGCGGGGCTGGAGAGAGGAGCTGGGTGTCCCCAGCGGACCTGCGCTCTGGCAGGGGCGGGGGCGCTCCAGGCCGTGACCCTCTGTCCGCTCTCAAGGCCGAGAGAGCCAGCAGGCCCGGCGGGGGGACGGGCGGGGCGCGCCGCAGCGCCTGGGCGGAGCCGATCCGCTCCCGCCCCGCTCCTGCCTGCCCCAGGCTCCCGGGGCCGGCGCCGCGCGCTCCTTTATCCGACAGCTGCCAGGGGAGTCCAGCGCTCAGTGTCCTGCTCGTCGGTTCCCCACGGTCGCCGCCTGCCGCTGCCACGCCATGAGTACCCAGCAGATAGTCCTCCAGGGCCCGGGACCCTGGGGCTTCCGCCTCGTGGGCGGCAAGGACTTCGAACAGCCCCTCGCCATTTCCCGGGTAAGAAATGTCCGGGACGCGCGTGGGAGCAGGGCGCTACTGGGTAGGGTGGAAGTGCACCCCAAACGGGGCCTGGGGTACTGGGAGTCCCCCACGGGCGCGGGCTCGGACTCGGTAATGGAGCCAGCTGGAACCGCGGCAAAACTCGCCCAGGTGCGCCGTGCACTGAGCGTTCCCTTCCACCGGTTCGCAGACGCCGGGCTCGGCAGCCGTGTCCGCCAGCAAGAACCGAGTAGTTTTCTTCCTAAGCGGCAGAAGCGGGGTGCGGTGTGGGGGCGCGGGTTGTCAGCGGGCGACGGGACGGGGCTGGGAGGATTCCCGCGGAACGTGCGCTAGGAGGTATCCCCTCTCTCCCCTGTGCTTCATGGGGCAGAGGGAGGGGAACATGTTGGAAGCTCTGCAGAATTCCAGAAAGAGAGTGGAATTGGGGAAGGGATGAATGAGATTAATCCCGAAACAAAAACCGAGGTGAATTCGGGGAAAAGGCGGCATTTTGGAAATAACCGAACTCAGAGTAACCCTGTTGGTCTCTGTTCTCCTGGGCGCGATGGTCAGGCACTGGCACTGCTGGATCTCTGCACAACAGCGGTTGCGGCAGTGATGTCCCTTGAAAACTTCTTGGAGAGCCCTCCTTTCTGGAGAGTCTCCTCACCCCCCAAATAATGCAGAGACCCAACACTGAGACTCAGACTTGTGTGTTCTGGGCCCAACCCATGATTGCTGCCCCACCGAGAGGGGCCACATTCCGTGTCTGTACCTAGTGGGGTAAAGAAGAGAGGCGCCAGAAGCACCCCACACGTTGACTATAGGCAGCCGGTTCCATTCTTGGGCCCATCTGCCTGCTGAAGTTGACCTCAACTTGGTCTCTCCCTTCCCCCTTCCTAACAACCATCTTTTTTTTTTTTTCTTGTAGGGGCTAAGGCAGGGTGAGTGTAGAGAGAAAGGGAAGATCCTGTGAGTCCTTTAACTTCCAGCAGCTGGAAGAGTTGGGTGGGAGGCGTGAGAGAGGAATTGGGAGCCTCGTGTGGGCTGCTCTGCTGATCACAGCCCTCCTACACTTCCTTTCAGGTGGGCCTGGCTGGGAGGGAAGTGATCTTTCCCTTCCCAAAGCAGCAGGCAGTGTGTCTGCAAGGCCCCCGTCTTCCACCTGCCCACCTCCGCCCGCCCAGCATGTCTGATTATTCTCAAAGGTGCATGCTGTCTTCCCAGCCACCAGTCAGATTCCTTAAGCCCAGGAACAGTGCCTTCCTCAAATCTGAATCCACCTCCGATGCTGGCTCAGTGCTGCTCCTGGCCATGCTGGATAAATCCCTGCTGGCTTATTAATAAATGCTTGTCCAGGGAGGGCATTACCTCCGCACATTTAGACTTGCTTACCTCATAGAGCCCATTTGTCGCTGCTCTCTGTGTCTATAATTAACCTGTCAGCCCTCTCCACTTCTAAGATTTATATGAGACCTGGGACCTTGTTTTTTCAGTAGCGGAGAATGTATTGGCAGGGTATTAAAGGGGCAGTTACTGCCATCATCTTAGCTGCTTTTAGAAGTGTTAATTTCAGTAAGTGGCCCTGTGCCAGAATGATAGAATGCGGTGCAGTATACCCCACACAGTGAATTTATTGGTTTGTACCTCCTATAATGGTTTATTGATTTATGATATGTGCACCTGTTGGTTAATATGCAAGACAAGAAGACACAGCACTTTTCTCAAGGTGTTCATGGCCTTGTGAGTGCACCTAATCTTTATAATGCCCTTGGCAGGTGTTTTGGTTGGAAAGCGAAAGTGACTCTGACTCAGTAGAGGTGAGATTGTCTTGCTGAGTGTAATCTATTTGCCTCTTTACTTCAGTCTAAGTGGGAAAAAGTGTGAGACTGTTCACCCCTTGAGAATGGGAAGATCGTTGTCCTATAGGGACCCAGGGCGTGGCCGTCCGGGATCTGGTGCTCGTTTGGTATTTGCTTTTTACTTGAGCTGTACACAGGGTGAGCTTTCTCCTGTCCAGAGCTGCCTTGTGTCTGAAGGTCTATGAAATGGGGAGAATACCAATGCGTGGCTCTCAGTCAGGAATGCGAGAGTACTCTGTAAACAGTGAATGATGGTGGGCAGGTGTGAGCACTGACCAAGCTACACACACCTTCTGGTTGGTAGGTGTGATGTGTTTGTCATCTCGGGCGGATAGAGTCTGCGAGTTTGGTTTTATGGATTTTGGGCTTTCTGTGTCTCCACACCAAAGCAAACCATAAAATTAGGCTGGGAATGAGTGCCTTTCACTGGAACAACTCGGTTAGCTTTCTCTTACCTGAATTATTCTGGTGCTGGCTCCAGTCTTTTGTTAAAAGGCTAGTGCTTCTGGATGTAATGCTCTAAGTCCTTGAGATATTTTGTTTTTGAATTTGGCTTTTACATGAAGTAAGCAAGTCATACATTAAGAATGAGTAGCGAATGACCATAAAGCAAACACTCACGTTACCACCATCCAGGACAGGAGCCAGAATGTTGCCAGGACCCGGAAGCTCACCCTGAGAAGTCAATTTTTTTTTTTGCGTTGCTTCATAAAATCACTGATTAAATAGCTGTCCTGGATATCACAGCTTCATTTTGCCTGTTTCTGAACAGCTTTTTACACCTCACAGCCATTCTCTATTTGTCAATAGCTTCTTTGAGTCCTTCACATTTTTATCTGTTATTTGGACAAACTCAAAAGTTTCAACCTAGGTTTCCAACATTTGTTTTAAACTTTATTTGAAAGAGACAGATCTGCCATCCCCCTGTTCCACCCACTAAATGCCTACTATAGCTAGGGCTGGGCCATGGGCCTGGAACCCAGCCTTTGTTTCCCATAAGGATGGCAGGGGCCAAGTATTTGTGCCATTATCTGCTTCCCCCCATAGTGTACATTAGGCAGCTGGATCAGAAGCAGAGTCGGGATTGAGTTCAGGCCTCTGATAGGAGCTGCGGGCATCCCAAGTGGTGTCTTAAATGCTGCACCAAACACCTGCAACATCGGATGCGCATAAACTAACTTTGTCTTTGAGCTGGTTACTTAAAGCCCCTCACCTTGGTCTCCCCAGTTCTCCAGTCATGTTTTTAAATTTTTTTTGGCCACTCTTGGGGATTTTTTTCTCTGTCATCTTCTCGAGTGTTTTTTCCCGCATGTCGGTTTCATGTTTCCTCTGGTTGCTTTCAAGGGAAGCCTTCAGAGAATCCACACCCAGGCCAAAATTGCTGCTTAGTTTATGTTGCTTGTTTTTCTCCCCTGGCAGCTGACAAAAGACAGGAAAAGGTGGAGCCAGAGATAACTGGGTGCTCCTAGCTGGAGGGAGCTATGCTTTGCCATGTGAGTCCTGGGGAACCCTTCCCAGGAGCCTCCTGGTGCTGGGGCCCCTGCCCCCAAGGTCCCCTTGGCTTCATCAGAGCTTCTTCTGTAGCCAGAGGCTCCTTTCTGATTTTTCAGTGTGATTTCCTGATTCAGCTAGATCTTGCATCTTGTCCTAAAGGTTGAAAGCAGAGCTTTGTTGTCCCATGAGCAAATGGCCAGCGAGGCTCATTTTGTATGGATGGCCCTTGTGCTGCCTGTGAAATTGTCCACCTGGGTACTGGGTAATGGCAGCCGCTCATGCCAGTCTTGACTACCCCAGGGAGCAGAGAAGTAGAAAGTGGGAAGTGGAATAAAAATCATGTTGTCACTCTGAGACAGGGCCTGCCTGCCACTGCCCACTGGGTGCGCACTCTGTCTCCCATGCTGCCGTTGCAGTGCAGTTCTGAGGCTATGGGGCAGGTCTGCTTACCGGGTCCTCCTGCCCCAGGTTGGGCAGACCTCGAGCAAGGCTCCAAGGAATTGCTTTTGCCCTAGGGCCAGGTGAGTTCCCAGGCTGTGCACATGGCCTGGGCTCTGTGGAGGGGAAACCTGGTGTAATTTGCCTCTTATGCCAAGAGAAGCCCAAGTGCCCGCAGGCTAGGCACGGCCATTGGTTTGCATTTGCATTTTTCCTTGCCTGAACTACTTTGTTATGAAGGAAAGGGTAGAGACTGAAGAAAAATGAGCGAAAGTGGCTCTGTCTGAAAATGAGTTTTTAAAGGAAGAGGTCTTTCCAGCACATCTCGGAGGAACAGCGCCAGGAGGGGCTGTGGGCTCTGATGGGCCTGTCATGAGCGCAGGGCAGGGACTTCTACAGCAGTGGCTCTCACATCTCAGCAACTGACCTTGGCCATGTTGCCTTTCTAAACTAATTCTCTGTAAAGATAAGATGAAATAATAAGGCAACCCAGGAGGGGTTTATTTTTTTAAATTTTACCTTTTAAAAAATTTTTTACTTAATATCTAACACAAGTCTTTAGAACACAGACACTCCCCTGCGTCGTCCTCCTCTTTCTCCTCCCCTCTTTGTTTTTAACTTTTGAGATAACATACTCGAGATTCATACCACAGTAAAAGGCTTAGACTTGGTAAAAAGCAAAGACTTTAGTGGGAATATGAGCCATAGCTATAAACAATAACTGAATAGGAAAATGATCATATATATAGTAAATTATGAAAGAATCACAGATCTCTTCAATAGTAGTATAACTCCCTAACCATTGGATTGACAGAGGTATCAAATGGAGTTTTACAAAACTGTTTACAGTGATACTGGCACACACAGACATTTCTTTCTAATCTTATTTATTTTAAAAGCTTCAGGCCCCACATATCAGGGAGAACATGCAGTATTTTTCTGGATCCAGCTTATTCCACTCCTTATGATATCCTTCAGTTCATTTTGCTGCAAAAAGAATGTTTTGTTAAAGCCCAAAAATAAGCTGTTGTGTATATATGTTGCATTTTCTTCATCCATTTATTGGGTGGTGGAAACCTGAGTTGATTCCAAGTGTTCCCTATTGTGAACAGTTCTGCCAGAAACATGGTGGTGCAGGTGTCTCTGACTCATTGTGTTGAAGTCTGGATATATGAATGAAAGTGGGATTTCTAGATCATATGGTAAGCCAATTTCTAGTTGCTG